TCTGCATTCTCAGAAACAAGAAGTCAAGTGAGTAAGGTGTGTGAGGCAAGAGAGGCATTTTGTTTTTGCCCAAAACTGGCACACTGTATGAGCAGGTGCATTGTCATGGTGGCAAAACCAGTCCCCGTTTTGCCACAAATCAAGCCTTTGTTTTTTGCACACTATTTATTACACAATCTTTTCAGAACGTCTCAATTTTCAGAACCTCTCAAAGCATAATTAACAGTCTGACCTGGTGGAATGAACTCCAAATGCACTATAATTGACATTTTCCATCATTCAGGAAGTTGACAGATGTCCAGAATGAGATTTGTCATCAATCGATGTTGGGAGCTGCTCTGAAAGCAGAGGTCTGTTCGTTCAAATGTGGACGTGCAGACACAGCTCTGTCACGGTCAGATTGTCTCTCTCACGGTCAGATTGACTTTTGTGCTTTAATGTTATTGAAAACTTCAGGTGCTTAGCCTTGGGAAAAATATTTGCCAGACAAACAAGAACAAGGATGGGGGCGCTATTTTGAGCAATAGTACATTCCTGCTTAACAGTGTATAGAAGCTTGCTGGAAAATAAACTCAGGGCTGCAGTCTTGAATTGCAGTCCTCCTGACCCCAGCTTTTTTGTGTCTGTCTCTTCTCAGTCCTCACCCCTTTAATTGAGTCCCCGTTCCTCTGCTGGCCGGCTCCGGCAAATCGACATTCCACCTTTTTTGAAATGAGAAAGCCACGCCCACACTTGAGTTCTTCCAGTAGTGCTCTCTTTGTAAGCTGTGTTCAACAGCACAACAGTTTTTGCAGCATTTTTCCTGAGGAGGAAACAAAATTTCACAGCTGCATGCTGTTCTTTTAAATCGGCTATCACAAAAAACGACGAGGTTCGAGCAAAACTGCTTTTATGAAAAAATTCATTGTGACTGAGAGAACCTTCCCAGACGATGCCACTGGGTGCACTAACTCAGAATAAGTTGCTCCATGCTTGCCTAGTGGAAAAAAATGTGTATTATGAAAGCTTTACTCCACCCAGCGCAATTCAGTATTTTTTTTTTTTTGGTTGGGGGGAGGAGGTATGTACCTCCTCATACATTTAGGGAGTGCTGAAACTGTCTACTTCCCACTTAGGTTTAAGTGATTAAAGCACTTTTCTTTCTCTTCACTCCATGTGGCTGCATTGGCTTTGCATAGCAAGAGGCATGACTTCGCATTATGGCAGCACTGTCACAGGGAGAATTAGTGAATTTTAGAAATTACACCTCAGCAAAGCTGGGCGTTGGAGTTTTGTTTGTTTTATTTTTTAAAGGTAATTGAGGCAAAGACAGTGCATTAAGATTTTATCAGTCTTGGTTACCAACTCAAGCTAAGTCCACTGTGATTTCTTTTCATCCTCATTATTCAAAATAGATTCTCAATTTGTTTGCTGAGTCTATGAATGTTTTATAGGCAGTTAAACACTGTGTCAACTAAATATATTCAGCGACCTGCAGTGGGTTTCCAAGACTATAACTGTTTACCAGAGTAGAAAGCCGTCTTTCCCCCATGGAGCTGCTGGTGGTTTTGAAATACTCACCATGCCACTGTACCACCAGGGCTCTGAGTGCTTAATCACCAGGGTCTCAAACACTTTGGTAGGAAGTATTTTAAAATAAAATGTATTGGCTCAAGCTATGGGCTAAGTGGGAACCCTGGGGGCATAGTGGACAAGAAATTGATCAGCTAACTGCAAGGTCAGCAGTTTGAAACCACCAGGCACTCCATGGAGAGAGATCAGGCTTTTTATTCCTGAAGATTTAGTCTCAGAAAGCCCAAAGGGTAGTTCTACTCTGTCTTATAGGGCCATTGTGAACTGTCATCAATTAATTGACAGTTTGGGGTTTTGTTTTTAAAAACAATAAGCACACTATAAGACAGCACAGCATTCTCCTGGCACCTAGTGGCTTAATTGCAAATGGCAGCCATGGGTCTGAGAAATTTGGACTAAATGTCTGTGATCCCAGACTGTGTGGTCCTGGATTTTATTGTTTGTTCATATGTTCAAGAGCCTCCTATGATTGCTGACAATGGCCACAATGTCCAAATATATATTAAAAAAAAACCTCTTTCTCAGGGTCTTGAATCCCCTTCCTTTCATTTTGCACATTGATATTTTTGAACCCTAAGGCTACCCCCCTAACACACACAGACACACACACATACACTTATCCCTTAGGCACCCACAGTGTCTGTTGCGTGCTTTCTGCCATCAACCAGCAGTATCCCCCAATTTCAGTGAAGTGCTGAGAAGAAAGTCTGCTGATCACACATAAGCAGGTGTAACTACTGGCTTCAGATGAACTGTGCAGTTAATACAACCCAACATTTTCATGGTGATTACCATATCTAATGAAATGCCCTTATTTATGTTGTTTGCCTATTTCCATTGTGAAACTATCCACACCATGACCAATTTCAAGCTCCCAACGGCGGTCTAGTTGCAAAGTTGTGACATATATTTTCAGTTGGCTCTAGCTAGCTGTTGGACACCTTCTCTTGTTTACTCTTGCTGCCAGCTCACAAACTTACTTGAGATCAGTAAAATTTGAATGTTGCTCATCTGCCTACTACCTTCAATTGTTAAAATAATAATGACTGACAACTAAGAAAATGACTATCCATTTCTCCTATTATATTTAATAGTAGTTGTGTTACGCTGGTGTGTTAGTCTGGGTACAAATCCAGAGAAACAAATCCACAGAAACTTATGTATAAGAGAGAGTTTTATATAAAGGGTAAGTGCACATCAAGAAAACATCCCAACACAGTGCTGCCCAAGCCCACAAGTCCACCATTAACCCATATGTCCAACACCAATCCACACAGTCCTCCTCCATCTCACAAAACAGACACAATGATGCCGACTGCAGGAGGAAAGCCGAGTCAGTGAATGTATAAGCATCTCAGCGCTGATAGGAGCCTCCACATGGGTGCTCCAGCACCCAGGGCTGCATCAGGGTAGGTCCATGTGGCTTCTCCTCAGGGGTATCTTGCAGGAAGTGAGCCTTGTAAGCTAAAGCAGGGAACTGGCTAAGGCACCTGCACCCTGGTCCAGCCATCAGAAAGCAAGAGACCTGAGAACTGGAAAGGCAAGGCTCACCGAGCCATTTATCCCTCCGCCCTTCAATTAACCCCACACGTGTTTATTGGCCAGGTTGGCACAATAATCTAATTACCTCAGCTGGGTTGCCTGGAAGAGAAAATCCAGTGAAACTCATCTATGTATAAGAAAGAGCTTTATATAAAAAAATAATTATATATCAGAAGGCATCCAACTCAGTCCAACTCAAGTCCATAAGTTCAATGCTAGCCCTTAAGTCCCTCTTCAGGTTTACGTAGCTGCAAGTCAATAACCCAGGAAGCAGGAAGAGCACAGACCAATGGGTACAGTGTGGTGTGGATCCAAAGTTGGTGGAAATACAACAGGGCAGTGATAGCTCCAACTTGGGTACTCACTGCCATCAAGTCAATTCCAACTCATATAAGCCCTATAGGACTCATAGTGACCCTGAGGGAGGCTTGGTGACATAGTGGGTGACCCATGGGCCTGCTAACTTCAAGGGCAGCAGTTGGAAACCAGCAGCCACCCTATGGGAGAAAGCTGAGAATTTTTATTCTTGCAAGGATTTAGTCTCAGAACTCCACAGAGGCAGTTCTATTCTGTCATCTAGAGTCACTTTGAACTATGGCATACTACTGATGAAGACATACTTGATACAACCACCTCCAGCTATTGTCTCTCAGGTACTAGTACTCTGGGAACATTAGCTGCTTTGAATATAATAGTGTACGTCAACGTTTAGGCTTCAGTAATTTTTTTTTTTAATTTCTCTACGTAGTATTGTTTGTTGCTGGGAGTATACAGCGCCCTCTGAGCCCTGGGACTAGGAGAGCCTCAACTTGCTCATTGCACATCAGTTGAATTGGGGAGATTTGAGTCTGTGGTGAACTGGCTGTCAGCGTCTGGCTGGACCTTGTGGAGTTTGCATTGTGGTGGGGTTAATTGGGTGTATCAGGAGGATACTACCATTTGG